CCCATCTCATTCTTCTCGACTTAATCACCCTGACAATATTGGGGGAGGAGTACAGATTTTTAAGCTCGTCATTGTGCAGTTTTCTCCACGCCCCATCGTCTTCCCTCTTAGGCCCAAATATCCTCCTCAACACCCGATTCTCAAACACCTGCAATCTGTGTTCCTCCCTCTGAGTGAGAGACCATGTTTCGCACCCATACAAAACAACAGGCAAAATTATTGTTTTGTATATTTTAATCTTCAGGTTTTTCTTATACTAGAGCGCTGTCTCTATCTGATATTCTACTTCTTTACGTCGCTGTTCAAAGGTCTGATGTTTTAGTTCTTTACGTCGCTGTTCTTATATTACAACTACGATTATTTCATCTATGGCTTTGCATGTTAACTTAAGAGTGTTTTGCATCAAGTTTGTTCTTCCGAAATCCAGATTGAACATGTCCACGACCCCCGTTATGTAGCTGTAAACTTAAATTACTGAATTAAAACTTTCTGATGCTGGTAATAACACCCTGTGAAATTGCAAATCAGCCCTGGAAATGCAGGCAGTATGTTCTTCCGAAATATTGGACATCTAAGACGGCGTTACAATTCAGAAGACGAACATCGACATCTTAACCGCCATGAAAATCTAGAATCTTATACATAAAAGATTTTACCTGTAATCTTTAGAGAAAGGAACGGAGAAGTTAGAAGGCGTTACCGCATAATCCGCAAGGGGCGGTCCGACTGGCAAACTTGTCCACTTCTAATAAAAAAAACTCATTGATTCTTCTGGTTTTGTGTTCCGGGATGGTAAACAATGCCGAGTTTCGGTCTGCTGCTCGTCTTAATAGTATCTACTGCACATTCGGAGCACTTTCTTATGTGATTTCGTCAAGTTAGACGGTGGCTTCGCTTTCCGACGTACTATCCGTTTTCTACGCAAAAAAGAAATAAAAATGCACAGTTGTCGGACTTGCTCAATGTCTGAAACTGCTTATTAAAAGAAATAGTTCTGGAATCAATAACATTTTTGTATTGTACATGTGTCATCTGATTTTCTTGCAATCATTTAGTATTCAACCAGTATCTACAGGGTGATCTGATTTGGAAGGATATGAAGACAAATATTTCATAATGACAAACGTGTCGTTTCTAACAGTGTGGGACCAGAATCACGAATGCGGTTACAATTTATTTTTGTTTTCAGGAGTTTCAAGGTTCAAATTCTGGCCCTGAGAGCGTCAATTAAACAGGCCACGACATTTTTCTCACACAATATTTCCCATTTATCATTTCCAATCACGCAACCACTCGATGTACTGCAGACATACGCAGTTGATAAAGCGCCATTAAACAACCCCGAATCAATTTAAAGATTGTAAATGACTGAATCTGAGCGTAAGCAGCCAATAGATGCTCAACTGTTAAGTCACATTTACCACCGACAAAAAAATTCCGCCATTGAAAATCGTTACACTAAGTGAAAGTTACGTAGCTCTTTATGATTTTAATTGCGGAAAATTAAATAAATACCTGCTTCACTCACACTTCTAGACTCACCAAGGCAATGAGTGTCAATGTAGGTGATACAGACTTTTGATTTTTGCTCTCAAACAAAAGTTAGTAGATTGTTTGTGTTTTACGTGATGCGATCGGAAAGTTTCAAGACTGTGTCAATAGAGGGCGAACCGGATGTAGTACGAGCTTCTGCCGCTAGGGGGTGCGGCCTACATTCATAGTGAATCAGTGTGCCAGCCGGCATCATCGAATTAGCATTTGTTTCTTAGTTACGGGCGTTTTGGTAGTGCATTACACCGACCCTCCTGCGATTTCGGAATGGCGGATTTTCATGAACAAATCAAATTTTGCCAAAGACTCGCCAAAACGGCTAAGGAAACCTATGAAATGCTAAAGCAAACATTTGGGGAGTCCGCAAACTTTTGTGTGGCATTCACGTTTTAAAAATGGCCGAACCTCTGGCGTTTTCGGTGGATATTCAGTGTAATGGAAACTGTTCAGATGTGATCGTGTTAAAAGTTCTTCAGCACGTGTTTCGTGTTAATATATATACGAGGTGCGATCGGAAAGTTTCAAGACTGTGTCAATAGAGGGCGAACCGGATGTAGTACGAGCTTCTGCCGCTAGGGGGTGCGGCCTACATTCATAGTGAATCAGTGTGCCAGCCGGCATCATCGAATTAGCATTTGTTTCTTAGTTACGGGCGTTTTGGTAAATTGAAAATTCAGCTAAAGGGAAGGAGATTTGAGACGATAGAAGAGATTGAGGCAGAATCGCAGATGGTGCTTGACAGGCTGACAAAGAAAGATTTCCAGGGATGCTTCCAGGCTTGGCAGCGGCGCTGGGATCGTTGTGTTCACTCCCAGGGGAACTACTTCGAGGGTGGTGGATGAATTTAATACCTGAGATAAGTGTACGGGTTTTTATAGGCGCAGTCTTGAAACTTTCCGATCGCACCTCGTACAGTGATTACACACTCTTCCCGAATATCACACTCTGAAAATTTCGAGTTTAATAAAATACAAGTGCACAGTTTAAATAAATATTTGAGTGAAAACAACATACGCATTAAAACATGCCGTCATAAGCACTCTAATTTGCATATTTGACCTTCGCATCAACGCTAGCCGTCTACACTAACCACTTGTCCACCAGAAAATAAAAATATTCAAGCTAAGTACAGTGTTTATCTTCGTTTAGCAGTGGAACGTAGTCACACGTCTCGGTAAACACATTAATTTACGTATTTCTTCCAATTATATGAACGTACTGGTGTCTTTGCGCTGCAGATGTCTGGCATAACTGACTGTACTTAGTGGAAGGCAGAGAGAAGCCACAAACATCACTTCCGATTTAGAAATTAACCGAATTTTAAGCGCTTAAGTTTTGCTGCAGTGTGAAAATTACATGAATCAAACGCACAAATGACTGATGACAAACAGTCTAAAGAACATTATTCGCTCTTAATAAATTGTGCAATCCGATATGATACTGGCTATCGTACTTGTGTGTTATTGTGTTGCGCTATATCGCCATCATCAATTTCCAGCGTCTGCTTGGAGACCGAATTTTTCTGCGGACAGCTGAGACTGAACGAGATCAACAAACCCAAGTCACCGCTTACATTCCTCGTTTCCCACGCTTTTGCTATGAAAAACATAACGGAAGACTCAAGGTTTTCCGTGTCTAAGAGACAAGTAAGTAAAATTTGTGTACACGCAAATCAGGTGCGTCTGGCAAAACAAACAACTCCAATTTTTACAGATTGCTGGTGACCTTTGGAAAATTAACTAACACTGGAGGTCGAGTCCATAGTACTTATAATGATGGCAGTAGAGGGTTTTGGTACATATCAGTTAATAGTGGGATGCGGGCTAGACCATCAGGGTTCGATTCCCGGCAGACGGATTTATCCTTAGCTACCACGTTCAGACTGGTTCTGGGGGCCCAGGAAACTTCCTGTATAATGGGTACCGGGACTCGTTCCCGGGTAACAGCGGCCGGAGAGTGAAGGTGACCAGTCATCTCATTCCAGTGCAGGGGTAACAAATGTGTACAATTACGTAAGATTTGAGGTTTTCACAGCGGTGAGTATGAAAATTTTTGTCTTCTGGGTTGTTGCGCTGTGTAGTCTGGTTGATGTTAGCCAACGTTTCTGAGGTCATCCTGCCTCCGTCATTGCCCTGATGATGGAGGCAGTATGACCTCTGAAACGTTGGTTAACATCGACCAGACTACACAGCGCAACAACCCAGAAGACAGAAATCTTCATACTCATCGCCCTGATGACGGAGGCAGTATGACCTCTGAAACGTTGGTTAACATCGCCAGACTACACAGCCCAACAACCCAGAAGACAGAACTCTTCATACTAAGAATCGCCCTGATGACGGAGGCAGTATGACCTCTGAAACGTTGGTAAACATCGACCAGACTACAGACTACACAGCGCAACAACCCAGAAGACAGAAATCGTGTACAATTACAGCTTCAATTTTAGTCTTTATGTCATTGTGTTTAACTCAGCACACGTAGGTACATAGAATGTCATCTATTCTTGTTATTCTAACTGTACGCACAAGGTTAATGAATATAGAGGTCATAGGATGTAAAATCTTGTATATAAATCCTTTGCAGCGCCAGTAAACATGAGAAGACAGCCTTCTTCAGACTCACCGCCGTGAAAACCTCAAATCCTACATACCTGTTGTATAATCTGGTTTATAAGAGGCTGTCTGTCCCAGAGCCAGGGGCAAAGAGGAAACTTCCAATCTCGAAAATTCACAGGAAGTAAAAACTTTTTCAGCAGTATTTGTTAACTACACACATTATCTCACTACTGTAAATTATGCTTATAAAAAGTTGAGGTCAAGATTTTTTTAATATTTATATTTCATATTGGGCAGGTCCCGGTTCGATTCTCAGTACCAACTCCTGCTATACTGACCAAGGTTTCTCGTGGGTTTCCTCCCTTCACGCAAACACTGGGTTAGCATCTTGCAATAGGCCACGACATGCGACTTCCACATCCTCCCCCCCGTCATCCTCCTATTCGACACTTAACCTAAACAGGTGATAAAGCCTCGTTAAGAAAATCTATATATAAAATACATAGACCTATCAAAATTCTTGGTGCCGTACTCGTAGACTGGTCCCATAACACGTATCTCCTATAGTTCAAACAAAAAATACCAAGCTTCCTTAAAACCTCGCAACAAATGCGCCTAAGTAGATACAAACGAAGACTAAGTGAAAATAGAACAGTCGAAATCTTTTTGTGGGAATCATGCAATATACAAGCCAATATTTAGCGTCTAACGTAAATGTCTGTTGAATTTAAGTGAAAAGAATGTTGTCAACAGGATACAGCAGTATTCACGATGGTGTCAATTATATGCTGGTTCTTTGAGACGAAGGCCTTGAAGTCACAGCGTAAAGAACAATAAGAAAAGTGGATCCTGGCAAGAACTGACGAGCCAAGAAATCTCGCTTGAATTATTTAACGGAGCGGACTAGCACAGACAAGCCCTGACGTCATATATTCAAACTGAGAAAGGCCATTTAGTGTGAAAATTGAGTAAAATCAAACAACACATTTTCAATTTTTTTTTAAATTAGTTATTTCGTACAGTTTTACTGTTTAAAGCAATAAGGTACTTTTAAAATCGGTGCAACTGCCCAGTAGTTTCAAAACACGAATTTTCAGATATGTATTATACCATCAATAAATATACCCATTTTTTATGCCCTATGACCAAGCCTCTTTTTTTAGACTTTGTGTCAGAAGAATCGGCTAACGACCTTCACAAAAACAAGTTCACTCCCGGTGGTTAATAAGCTAATTAATCAGATAAAATAATGTATCATGGTTTGTTCAGTGATTCCTTTACGTACACATAAGGCTTTATACAGTTTTGAGTTACCTTAATAACAGAATTTTGTGGAAGGGAGGGAATCCATGTCGATTTCTCGTGGTGCGTGGTTACTTAATCTCCACTCTGCATGTCTGCCCTTGTTCATGGTCGACATTCGTAATCAGTATTACCACAGCCTCAATAATTTCTAGCTCTCAAGTCAGACAACACGTGTTTCAGGCTATTCATACTCAACTACCCCCCACCGAGGAGAGAAAATATAACAATAAATTTGTCCCGCTGCTCGCCATGGAGACCCTTGTAGAGAGGTTATACAGCTCCAACTCATTCTCGATTTTGGCACTAGATGGGGTTGAGTGTTCCGCGTCACGCCACGGCCGCCATTTACCCTCCGGGGGACAGACCGCCCGTAACACTAGGTAGGTGGACCACAGAGCCGGTCTGGACGCAGCGGCAAAGAAAGTTTCCCTGTTCTATTACCATAATTTACCCGCTACGTTCTTAAAGGTTTCATAATTTTACATTTGTATCTTGGAACACAAATTATTATTTCATTAAGAAGAAATATTTTTCTTCTTTTTACAAGTACCGAAAAATTGTAAAATTGTGCCGATTAGTTTCGGCATATTTCTGTATGTCCGAATGTAACGAGAGATACTAAATATTTCTACTAAAATTTGTCGACACATTTTAATTTTGATGCATGGGGGAATGTCTTTTACGGGTAATCCTGGTTTGGAGAATCTCCAGGTAATGTCCAGCTGCTTGGGGTCTTCGCCGAATCCTCTGTGATGATGTCACCATACTAGACACTTCGCCCATCTGACGTCACTGGCACCACACGCAAAAGGTCAAATCCCGGAGAACAAGTCTAGAATATTTGCGGTGTGTGTGCATTTAATAACTGTTCAGTTACTCCAGAGGGAAAGCACAAAACACGTATTTAGTATAAATAATAAATTCTACGTGCTACAATTCTGTAGAGTTCGCTGTTATTTCCTAAAGAGTGAATGTTTTCTACTCCCTCATGTAAATAGCGTGAGACAGGATAAGCGGACAGTAAAGACATACAAATTAAAATTTAATAAAAATCATCCAAGCTGTTCTCGAGTTAAAAGATGAAACAGCATAAAAATCATTAAAACCTCAAAAACTGTAAAGTTCGCACAAAAACAAAATTTATAACAAAATATAATTTATGTTTTTACATACTCTTGTTCGAAAACATTTGTCGCTTTCACGTAACGTAAAATTTGATACAAATTCGTTCGGCGGCTGTCGATTTGTTACATGCTGACGGACAAACAGAGACATTTTTTTAACGTCATTGCGAACGCGCGTAAAGATACCTGACAAAATGCGAGACTGGTTACAAGAAAAACTGAAGACGACTGCCTACGCCGAAACGCATTGCCGAATGTCGTGGTAAGTGCGAATGGGCGCTACATAAAACGAGTCCTGGCTAATTTGAAAGGAAACAAAAACATTTAAGTGGCGATGGGACATGAGACAGTGGTCTTCTGGGTTGCCAATTCTGCTGTTGTAAATGAACTACCAAAGTTTGATCTAGTATTGGTAAACGACAATCACTGATCCTGATTTAGTAATGCACCAGATACAAGGGATATCAGAGCTCGATAGTCGAACATCACCCTTGAACATGATCCTGAGACATCTGCATCCATCTCCAATCCTCACAATCTAATTCTCATTAATCTTTTCAGCCCATCTCCTTCTTGATCCTTAAACCGGGAGTTTACCATGATGTTCCCGCCATATTTCTGTTCGCATTACTGTTTCATCGTAGGTAACACATGCCCAGTCCATCGCAGACCCGTATCCTTACAATACTAGGTAACTAGGTGACCTGCATATATGAAGCTCCTATGTCTGTATTGGACCTGTCTTAAAATACTTATTTATTTTATCCTTAGGTAAATGAAAACCAGTAAGCAGAGTAGTGAACAGGATGAAGATGGCTGTCTTCTGTCTCATCATCCTGATGATGGTGGCAGCAAGGACCTCTGAAACGTCGGTAGCCATCTTTAAACTCACCGCTGTAAAAACCTCAAATCCTACTTAGTGAACAGGATGTTTGTATTGCAATGTGAAGATTCTGAAAGTTGTCCTCAGGCAACATGTCCGTAGAGTCTCTCTGGAGGGGATAAGAAGTCCAGTATTTTCCGTGATCTTTCAAGTGTTTGCTTTCAGAGACACAAAAGTCTCATACTTACTGCTGTTCGGTCGGTTTAAATAGCAAACAATTTGTCACACAAACCAACGTCGGCTCTCAAAAATCTATGTACGTCAAGCGAACAGATAATAAGAGGTATTATAGATAGATAGAGAGATTTAGACGGAGAATATTACTGTTGTGGTCGACTGTCGTATGTTTTGTAGCAACACTTAGAAACTCGCTTTTTCGAAGATTAACACATTGGTTCCGTAACTACTTTTCCAGATACAAATTTTATCCTATGAACCATTACAAACCCTCACACTAAACCAGGGGTGGGGAACCTTTTCATGTTGGAAGTCCTCATTAATTTAGCTGTAATGAAATAAGGCTGCATTCAAGAAACTTCAATTAGATATACTTAAAAATGTACATTATTTTGTAAAAATCTAATTACCATGTACTTACTAATTTCAAAAAATGAAAACTATTCGTTAATTTTAAAGTTTAATCTTTTAATGACTTTGTTGTGTCTGCTTTTTGTTGGAAAGCATTTGAATATTTGGTTGCAGCATGTATTAATAAAAATAAAAGGATTTGTTCTGTAAAATTTGGATTCAGTCAAAAGGCCGCACTTAAGGACCTAGAAGGCCACGGTTCCCCCACCCCTGCACTAAACCAACGAATAATAAATTCAGAACCACACACTGTATGGACCGTGCCACTCAGTGGCTCTCATAGACCTCATTAATCTTTACTGTGGTGTTTGAAATGCATTATTTTACTCCATTTTACCACACGAACAACATACTCCTTGACCCACCGGTATTTCTCGCTGTAATAAAATCGATTCGAAACTGCCACAGTAGAGATTTTAAACGTTGGGTGAATATTTATACATCTGCAGTCATCCATGCAGACATTAAAGATGTAGGCATCTTCATCCGCATATTTTCGGACGTGTTATTTCAAAACGTTCAGCTATAACGCGACGAGTCTTAAGACACTGCTACTTTACGTGAAAAATGGTGTTGAAAGTTGGCCATTTTCGTGGTGGAATGTGAAATTGCGAGAACATAGTTACATCACACATCTTGTTTTGTTAGGATGTTCATGCATTTTCAGAGGCACAACCTCTGCTGTAGGAATAAATAAAGTAAAGTTTGTCCCACTATACGCCATGTAGGCGTTTGGGGTGAGTGGAGGTATAGCTCCTCTCTTCCTTGACCTCGGCACTAGATGGGGGTGAGTGGTCAGCATCACGCCCCGGCCGGCTTTACCCCCGGGAAAGGACCCCGGTACCCATTGTAGAGGAGGCTCGGTGGGCCCCAGAGCCGGTCTGGACGCAGAGGCTAGAGGAAAAATCCTCTGCCCCCGTCGGGGATCGAACCCCGGTCGTCCAGCCCGTAGCTAGTCACTATACTGACTAAGCTAGGAATATCGGCAGTAAAAATATCTACAAGCCATGTGACCGAGGGATTTATTGGTCTTGAACTTGTTTAATATTCTCTTTTCTTATAAACAGACCTAAAACTTAAAATTTGTACGTGTGTGACTATTTGCTCCTCAGCCAAAGCGTTTGGATCGCTCAGCTCATCACTATTCCAAAAATTGTACTACGCCCTACCGTTTTCATGTTCGGGATATACAAGAACTTTGGAAGTAAATGCAGTCGGAGCGTGAAGGCAGGTAAACTATTTACGTCTCTAAGTCAAGATCTGAAAATGATCAAATATTCTTTTTGTACATTTATTCCTTACATTTCAAAACACATTTGATATAGGCCTATTTAGAAAATATTGTTTCTTCGATTGTATTGTAATTCACAAAATATCCCTAAGTGATATTTCAGGTTCTCAAGGTGGCAAGTATGGAGATATCTGGGTTGTTATTGTGATGATAAAGATAGAAAGAACCTCTGAAACGTCGGATAACTTCCACCAGACTACTAAACGGCACAGAAACTCAGAAGACAGCCTTCTAACCTTAATAATGACAACTCTAGCGGTTAAAAGTAAGGCAAAAAGTTCCTAAAAATATCAGATTTTTTGTGTTGGTGTACCCAAATGACTCCACACCTAAAAAAATAATCAGAATCTGAGTGGACAAACGGATACATCGCCGTCAGATGTTTGTTTTGTTCACTTCATGCTAACATCGCATAAAAGCACACGTGGAGTCTACTAACACGCCCCACCTTAGAACAGCCTGTTCGTCTATTTCATAACCCGAATAGAAAATGCCAGTTATAGAAAGGAGGTCGCCGGACAGAATTTCCGTCCTCATATGGCAGAATTTCCGTCCTCATATGGCAGAATTACAGAGAGGAGAGAATCCAATACGGATAATTAGTTTTATGCCAAGGAAATACGTGTCGTTTCATAACTGGGAACAAACCTTTTATATCGAATTTCTAAACGTGTTTCAAACAGTTTTAATTGTGGCATGTCGTTATATTATAAACAACAAAATTATCTATATGCAGACTTCTCCTTTTTTTTACTCTAACAACAACTTTTACATAATATAAAACATCAACCAAAGGTGGCTACATGTTTCGGCGTATAACATGCCATTATCAAACCTCCATACGTAGGCTACATAAAACATATTTAGCGTAAGTTATGGATAAAAATATAGTCTTATTAAAATTATATTTAAGATTACGACAATTGGCTCATCTGCGTGTATAAAAGTTAAACTACGAATGTACATTAAACTTTTAAAGTCTATTGGTAACTATATGTTCCACCTTCTTCAACAACCAGTAACTTTTCCTTGTGTATTTGTGTTTCATTAACCAGTCGATCTATGTAACGGTGAAGTGGCGTTTTCTTTCCGGTACGGTCTAAATTCCTAACTATTTTTAGACGAGTTTCGACTTAAAAGGAGAAATGTTGACATTTTTGTTAAACCACCACGTTTGTTGTAAGATTTTGTTTTCCTGGTGTGTTTTTAAGTGTTTAACGCTCACCGTCACGGATGCGACCATGCTCTGTAATAAAATAAAATTCCGTTATTGAACAAAGTATTAATAACCCACTGTAACACAGCATAAATATATATATATATATTTAGTGTTCTGTCTGACGACAGGTCCATATGAACAGGATATTTCCATCCTTCTCTCGGACTGGGACCTGTTCATATACGTTCTTGGCAGATGATCCAGAAGTGGTTTGCCATTGCCTTCTTCTGTGTGTGAATGGAGTAATTGTTGGGATGCCACGGAGAAACCGGGGAAGCCCCTGGAGGAAAACTCCGTGTTGCCTAGACCACGGCCTTGCCCAACACAAGTTATAAATTCGGGCACCGCCGGGAATCGAACCCCAGACCCCAGGATTACAAGGCCAGCGTTCTGACCGCTAGACCACCGTGGCTAGCATAAAAATATGTGTGCAAAAATAAACTTCTTTCGGAGGGGAAGTCCCATGTCGTAAAACAACCTTAGAAGCATGAACGAGATGTTTCGTAAACAAAATTCAGCCGCCATTTCTCATCCGTCTCTCCTGACACCTACTAGATGGCTCTAGCAGACAGTACATTAAGTAGAAATTGTGCAGAGGCAGTGGGCTGGTCACTCACTACTCACAAATGCACTCTTGAAAGGCTAAGAAACCTCCGAGAAGGTTCCGGCGAAGACTCATAGGAAAAAATATATATCATTTCCCCGTCAGCTAAAACTAAACTCAAATCAAAAGCCGAGTCTAAATGAGATAGAAGGAAAGCTGTTTCACATTACAAAACAACATTCCGGACCTGTGACGACACAGCAAAGCAAGTCAGGTGCTTTCTACCTGGATGCTGGCAAAGTACAGTTATTCTGCTCGTTATAAACTTCAGGCTACGCACAAGCTAGGTTCACACTGGAAGTTCCTGCGTGTCGTCAGTATTTGCATAGAATCACAACACTGGAAATAAATATTGTCTGTCTTATTTTGTGTTCACTAAGAACAAAAGAGAAACTGAAATACTTCACACAAAATTTACAATCCAGATATGCACAAAAGCAGCCATCTTTTTTAATCGCTCACTTGTTCCTGGACGTTTCTGTCTGAGACTCCTATGTTCTTAAAGTACTGATCAGATCTACCAAGTTCTAGGAATTATTTACAACGCCTCGAAATGCCTCGACGTAATCTACAAAGTGAGGTTAGGTAGAACCATACATTGATAATAATAACTGCACAATTCAGTGACTAAAGATGGCTGTCTTGTATCGACGTTTCAGAAGTACTTCCTGCCTCCATTATTAGGGCGATGGGTGCAAATCCATATTCTTACGGACTTTATGCAATGTTATGATTTGTAGAATTCGCCTCAAAGTTTGTGTAGACATTTCGGATACAATCTGTAGACAACATTTCGACTCTGATAACTTCGTGAGTCTAGCATAAGACACGCAGTCATAAGAACACCTTCTTAGGTTTACACACATCAATTTTTATTCAAGTTAATAAAATTGTTTCAGTTACATATGATCGAATTATGTCTTTCGCTTTCTGATAATTCCATGTTGTAACAAACTAATGATTATTTCAAAGTGGCTTTATAGTGTGTTATTTAAGCACCGAAATGCTGTTTTGTTCTAAAAAATTTTAACCATTAAAACATAAAAATAAATAAACTTTTTAATAGTTTTTGTGAATTTTGGGGTTCTCACGACAGCGAATATGACGATGGCTGTCTGCTGAAACGTCACTAAACTTCTACCAGATTACACAGCGCAAGGGATCCTCCTTAATTCTCTAAACGAACGTGTATTATGCGTCAAAATTTCCAATTGCCTTATGTACCTTCCTTTATTTTCTACACAAATAGGATCAACAAATATTTGCGAGTTTCCTCTGTACGAACTTTTATTTACGTCAAATTCACGACCGTTGTTTTATGAACATGACCTCGCGCAGATGTGTGGATACCGCACGTCATTCAGCATTTCAGGCTACCAAACAGTTCCGTTTGCATTCGTTATACCGCATTCAACAAACACACAGCTCATGTAACAGTGCATTACCGTACTCTGAGCACAGATGTGTGCGGCCAGTGAGGTCTGAACCCATGTCCAGAAAATTCTAATTCAAACATTTGCAGGTATTTCCTGCCATACTGCAGATGTCAACTCCAACAAACACATGCCATTTCTGTTTAAACTACCTAAAACAACGGGTTTTCGAGATCGTAAGCTTATCTTCTGCGTCGACTCACTGACAGAACAGCCTCTCTGCTAGCAAACATGTCTAAGCATCCAATTCACGAACTGCATGCTGTCTTGTTCTGTCCCTGTATAGTCGGCGCAGTGGTTTATGGCCGGTGGAGAAGCTGGCGGGCGGGCCTAGTCCGTGTACCTGAGATGGCACGGTCAGTGTATTTCTTTTGTTTGGGCGTTCAGTCACACAAGCTCCTCCGTGCAGTCAGCATTATACTATCGCACAAGAGACTC